CAAAGGAATGTATTTGTGCCCATAACAATAAGAAGAGGGATCAGAATGTCTAATGAAACTCAAATTAAACTGCCAGTGCATATTCCTGTACTAACTAGCCTTCTCTTCTGATCTAAATTACAGAATGCAAATTTTGAGCAGGGAATGCAATTAGTTAATCAAGGCACCATAGAAACATACTGTGAATTATTGCTGTGTATTTCCAAATAATTGCAGTTTAGTTTTTATTTTTGCATATATTGCAATTTTCCATATTTATACTGGCTTTCATATTTCCATTTAATGGACTTGATTAACACAAGCTTTTAATGTTTAAATTGCTTTTGAAAATGTAATTGGAAGTTTGTAAGAGGATAGCAAAGTGCCTATATATTTGTTGGTATGTCACGTGGCATTTTCTGTGTATTATTTATACATGCTCATTCTGCAGCAGTGCGCCAGACTGATAACGCATGGATAGGGCACAGGCTACATTACCGTGCTTATGCTATATTTCTGCTTTTAAATACATCTGACGTCTACTGGCTAAAAGTAGGGAAAAAAAAGGAAAATTACATTTCCCCACAAGACGATAATATCCTCATTTGGAATCCCAGACAGCTGCAGTTTAATGTACCAAATACCAGGTAGGTATCTCATAATGTATCTGGTTCATTTGATCACAAATCTGATACACAGCTGGTATTTTTCAGCAAGGGCACAGAGAAAAATAAAAGTAACACGTTTCTGTACTTTGGCCGAAATTTAACCTTTAAACCAGGTAGCTACAATACATAATATAATGCTTTATAAAACACATTTGACTGCTGTCATTTCAGTTTTATATGTTGTACATAGAATTCCTTAATAGCATTGACACTCAAGTATAAAAGACTATAGCTTCACTAGAATATTGGGTGGGTATGTATGTAGTTGTAAAGATGCTTTATTTTACAATACACAGTTGTGCTGCATGCTAATAAATTCATCACACATCTGAAAAACAATGTGATGAAGTGAGAATACAATAGTACAGACTGTTCAGAAAAAAAGTCTTATCATGTTTAGGTAGCTGTTCATAAGCCAAAAATCTATTTTGGTTTTTGGCCCAATGGTTCAACTTTCACAGCACTGTAATGTCTGAAAGCAAGCAAATGATAGTGCTAAATTATTACAAATGTAGAGGTTATTTTATTTGTATGACAGTAAGTACAAATAGCAATCAGTGAGTTTTCTGACTTTAGATATAGGTTAAAGTAGTTCTAAAGGCACAATTTTTTTTATCCTTGATGCATTCTATGCATTGATGTAAACAACCTTCTGTGTGCAGCTCCCCCCTCAGCTCCATCTCGATCCAGCGATGTGCATAGGAGCTGCAGCTCTCCCAAGTCTTTCTCTCATCATTGGCTCACACAGCAGTGGGAGCCATTGGCTCCTGCTGCTATCAATCGCAGCGAGCAAGCCAATGAGATGAGAGGGGTCCATTGTTATCAGCTGCTGATAAATCAGATGTCATCTAGCCTGAACTGTCATCACTGCAAGGAGAGGAATGAAAGCATTGGGGATTTCAAATCCCTGCCATTTTCTCTCCTCTCCTACCACTGATACTCAGCATGGGATGCCTGCAGGGAGGGTTCCCGCACCGCTCCTATGGGAACTGAGGCTATGACAAGCCTGGGTTCACACAGGAGCAGTGGGGAAACTGCATGAGATTTGGAAAGGAATGATATTCTTGTTCAAATTGCATGCTAATCTTTGCGCAATTAACACAAATCGCACCACAAAGTATCGGTTAAGGTATCAGCACCGATACTGGTATTGGTGCATCCCTAACTTTTATTACATATGTTATTTTTAGATCTAGTGATGTCATCATTTGGCCTCTGTGCTTCTGTACGAATTGCAGGCAGATCATGACTGGTAGGAGGAGTTGTTGGGGGTGCTGTACCTAGTTTTCTGAACAGCTCCCTGCCTTACTACTGTTCTCAAGAGTCCTCAGCCCTGATGCAAGCATTGGGCTGACCCATTGAAAGAGTTATGCAAATATAAAAATTCCTTTTAGATGCAGGTCATGGGCTCTCCTAGGCAGAATGCATTTGCATGCAAGCCACCCTCGGTAATGCAAACACATACGATGCTATCCACCATGATTGCAGGAATGATGCAGGCCAGGGACAGTCAGGCTGGGGGGTAAACAGGACACAGTAGCAATGTACTGGCAGAAGAAACCAGAGCACAGAGCAGGGGACCATGTATCTGACACACACAGAGGTGTTATCTAGAAACAGTGTTTGGAGCTCTGTAACTGATAATGATTTTAAGTCCTGTCTGCTGCAACTTCTTCTTTCATAGAGGTCTTCTATCTGAAATGTACTGCCCTAGTGCTAAGTTCATTGTTCTGCCCTAGCTACACATTACTTTGTGGCATGTGTACAGCTTGACAAGTAGGTAAATCCTCCTGTCCTTTAGCAAACCAGACATGGAGGAGGAGGGGGTGAGTGGGCTGTCATTTTCCACTCTGTATACGCCCTCATGTTTGACTCTATAGTCACATGGTCTGCTCAGATGTTGTAGGGAGGAAATGCTTAGCATAGAAACTCACTGAAAACTGAGCATGTGCAGAGTTGCCACCACAGCTGCAAAATCCCTAGCTGAATTGGGGACATGAACAGGTGGAGAGAAAGAGCAGCAGGATCAACCAGGATTTTTGCAGAATACAGAAAATTAATTTGAAAGTGACTTAGTATGAATAACAAAATGAAAAAAAAAAAAACTGAAAAAGCGGCAGACTCGATGGAACAATTAGTCTTTATCTGCTGCCACTCTTCTATGTTTCCACAAATTGGGTGGGTGATACATAATTCAAATAATGGGGTTAATTTACTAAAGAAAAATTGGGTGTTTACTGTGCAAGGGAAGCTGCACTTTACAAGGGAATTTTCCTCAGAGCTACCCAATCACCCAATGTAAGGAAAATATTTAAAAAAAACACAATTTTGCTTGCTTATGATGGGATGATGGAAATCAATAGAGCCCCATTCACTAAGCTTTGGGGAGAATTCCCTTTCAAAGTGCAGCTTCCCTTCCAAAGTGAACAGTCTATTTGCCTTTAGTAAAGCAACCCTAGTGTCTTGTACTGTCAGATAAGGGGGTGGCAACCTTAAAACGATATATTTCATCTCAGCAACTGACATCCTTTGATCGCCTTTGTTTAGAATTGAGAGAGACTTGGGGACCACATTCTCCCCTGAACAGAGAGATGATATATTATACTTTGACCATAATTCCTCTACAGCTAGTAGATATCAAGAGTAAAGCTATAAGCTATAAGTTATTCAACAGGTGGTACAGAGTGCCTTCAGTTCTACAAAAAAATCCATCCCCATCTCCATCCTCAGGTGTGTGTTGGTGGTGTGGGAAAAGCAGATGTTTGGGCACAGGTGAGAGAGATCATTGATTGACCTTGACTTGGGTGCTGAACCAGCAGCTTTTTTCCTATACTATTCAGCACTTCCGAGAGAAATACAAAAAAATCACTTGTGAACGTGGCTAGGACCCGTATCCTGGTCTTCTGGAAACAGAGCCCCCCTTCCCCCCACACACTTTATTGCTGTTGTTCTCAAAAATTAATGAATTAAACATTTGGAGAACCTCACAGCCTCCCCGAAGGGCAGAGAGGGAAAATTCAGGCATAACTTGTTCTTTTGGATAGAATGTGTACTTGTTTATCTGAATTTAAAACTATACAAGAGCAAACAGACTAGACGTGGTGACCTTTGCTGCTCTCTATGTGCTTCACACAGGATCGAGTGGGCAGATGCACCCTATCAACCCCCCCCCCCTTCCTCCCTTCTCACCTCTTCCCCTTCCTTCTTTTCATTCTCTCTTTCCGTTTCTTTCTTTTTTCTATGTTTTATTTTTCTGGGCTCTACCTTTTTTCACTTTCTTCTTTTCAGTACAAGATGACGACAAAGTGGTGCTGCTACCATCCCCTTGCGGGATACAGACACAAAACAATTTCAAAGCTGTTTGTGATGCAAAGTGTTTTATCATACATGTATTGCAATTGTATGACCATTCTTTTATGTTGTGACCACAACTTGTCCTTGTACAGAAAATTTTAAATAAACAATTCAGTCCAAAAAGGGGTGTCATTTGGTGTGTGTAATGACCAGGGGCGGACTGACAACTCATGAGGCCCCTGGGCAATAGGGGATCATGGGGCCCCTGTGTCCTTGATCAAACTCAAAAAAGCCTATGAAAAAGGTACCAGGGGCATCTCATGGGGCCCCCTACTGACCCCAGGCCCTTGGGCAGTGCCCGAGTTTCCAAATGGTCAGTCCACCCCTGGTAATGACAGTCTATGCGGTCATCGGTGATGCTGCTTCTGAGGGATAAGATGGATGTTCTCCATCCAACATGTGCCCAAGATGGTGGCTGGACTCCTGCAAATGATTCTTCTTCAAGTGTTTCACGTCTTAAAAATGGAATCTGGGCTTCGTGGGATGCAGCTATTTCCTTCTTCTCAGAGTGAGGGATGATGGGAGAATAGAAGCTTTGCAGGAATCAAAACACAGATGAACAAATGTATACACAAATATAAAATATAAAATGTATATACAAATGTGCATGACAGTCCCTTTAGGTGTTAGGGCTCGTTCATATGTGTAGCCAGGGGGCATGGGTGCTGTCACTGTCATTCATATTTATGTTCAGCACTAAATTGTCCGGAGAAGTCTATGTACTGTCTATATATAATGCATTTGTCAGTAGTTTGCTACATGAAGGGGCCTTTTATCTTGAGACTAGCAGTTATCTTCACTATACCAACTACCAGCTAAAGATAGCCCCTAAACATTTCTTTTGGTGTTTTTACTGTGTTTTTAGTTGAATTGCATTCCATTCCATTCATTATAAGACAGTAAAAGCTTTGTTTATATGTCTGCACTATAAATTGATTACTGAATAATTATAGATATTGCCTTTGGAGAAATTTATCATTTTGTCTTTATTTTATCTAGAGACACGTGTCATGAACTTCTGGGGCATGTTCCTTTACTTGCTGATCCCAAATTTGCCCAGTTTTCCCAAGAGATTGGACTTGCTTCACTGGGAGCATCTGATGAAGATGTTCAAAAACTTGCAACCGTGAGTGTGTATAGTTAAAACCACTACATCAGATTATATTTTTTGTAGCTGTTTGACCTTTACATGCCACATAGTAGTGTACATAATACAGTACATTCTATACCCCTGGTGTGCAACCTTTGGCCCATTGGTACTTGAGTGTGATCCTTTGCAAACCCCAGGTAGTGGGAGCATTGATTTAAAAAGGAGCTGTAATGGCAGTGATCTTTAGCAGTCTTCCCTAACACCTCCCCAGTCTTTAACTGTCCTTTCCAGTGGGTTTCCAGTCTCTAACAACACCTTTAGTATGTCTGTGGTCTTTGACCTTCTCCTATATTATATCTGCAGTTTATGACTGTTGACATTCTTTCTGTAGCATTGAATATAATGAATAGTATGTGCAGCTCTTTTTGGTGCTTTTAGGGGCAGTTAAAGTGTTACTAAACCCATGACCCTGCACTCACTATATCTGGTCTCCCACAGTACACGCAACATGCAATTATTTTAGTAAATATAAACTGCTAAATACCTTCTCTCATCAGCAGTATATAACAGTCTTGTGATTTCTATCAGTGTCCAGCTGAGCACTGGTTAAAGCTTGTAAGAGAAGTTTTCATTCTGCTCTGACTGTCCTATGAGGCTGCATAACTCCTGACCCTCTGTCTGGACAGTGCTGATTGGCCCTGTGCTGATCACATGCACTCTCGCAAAGAAAAAAAGAAAGAAAAACTCTCTAGCAATACACACTAAACTGAGCATGTGAAAAGTGACTTCTAAGACTCTGTACTAGAAGCAGATGGATTGGGGACAATAGAAGAAGGGGAGGATCTACATCCATGCGACCAGGACTTCACCTTCTATTCCAATCTGCATCACAGCTTCTGTAGAATTGACCATGTTCTAGTCCCCCTCCGCTCGCTATCCTGTATCGATAAAATTATGATCCACTCTTTGCCCTGGTCGGACCACGATCCCTTGATATTTCTTTTGACTATTGCCAATTCCCCCTGTCCTCCTTTCAAGTGGAGACTTAATGACTCGCTTCAAGAAACATGCCTCAATATTCAAACTTGCATACAAAATTTTTTCTCTCACAATGTAGGCTCTGTGTCTTCGGTGGTCTCATTTTTGGAGGCCCATAAAACCACCCTCTGGGGCCACCTTATTCAGAACGGGAACGGTGCATTGGAAAGCTTACATCCCAATTGGCAACGACAGACATGGCCTAGATATCGTCACCTTCAGTGGTGACTCAAAAGGCCCGTGATGTGATCATAACGGAGCTAGATTTCTGGCCTCTGATCTAGCTGAAAAAGCCCTCTGGTGGGCCAAACACAAATTCTTTTGTGGAAATAAACCGGCGCACTGCTCGCCAAGGAATTGAACTCGGTTTGTTGAGCTCACAAATCCATCCGCCTCCAATCCAACGGGAGTGATCTTACGTCGGATCACTGCATCTTTCACAATCTTTCTGTCCACTCTTTACAGTAAGCCAGCTCCATTTTCCATCGACCTAGCTGATGCCTTCTTTCGGGACCTCTGGCTTCCTACATCGCCTGAAGCAGGCCGTGAATCGCTGAACGTGTGCATTACTGAAACAGAAGTGGCCTTAGTCCTTAAATCTATTCATCCTACTAAGGCCTCAGGGCTAGATGGCTTCACTGGCCTTTACTACCGTAAGTTTGCTCTGCTTCTGGCCACTCACTTGATGGCCTATTTCAATAGCCTGCGGCAGGGAGTACTTCCTTCACCTGTTTCCTTAAGGGCACGCATCTCTATGATCCCCAAAACAATTGAGGAAGCCCATGATCCCCATGGCTTTATACAGATTTCCCTTCTTAATGAGGAATATAAATATGATAATATAAAGCTTCTGGGAAAGATCCTATCTACCCGTATCAAGAAATATTTACAATGCTTGATCCAAAGGGATCAAGTCAGTTTTGTGCCTGACCGCCAGGTGGGGGACAATATTCACAAAGTTATCCATCTCATCACTTTACTTAACCAGCGGAAGACCCTGGGTTACTCCTTTCATTGAAAATCTATAAAGTTTTTGACACCCTTTCCTGGGATTATCTTCGCTACATCTTGCGACAATGGGGTTTCAGAGATTCTGTTCTAACATGGCTTTCTGCTCTGTCTTCTAACCCTATGGCAGGTGTCTGCTATGTGGGCCACTCCTCTGCTTCCTTCCCTGGCCCTTTTTATCTTTGCCATTGCCCTCTGTGCTGATCCAAATATCACTGGGATCCCTTATGCTGGTGAATCATATACGATCAGCTTGTTAGCGGACCTTGCGCTCCTGACCCTCACCAATTCCATCACCACACTGCCTAACCTTCAAAATCTCCTGTCCCGCTTTGCTGCCATCTCTGGTCTTCAGATTAACCCCCATAAATTGACCACTATGAACATTACTCCTCCGAACTTCGTGGTATCTAACCTCAGAGCGTACTTCTCCTACCACTGGATGAGCTCCTCTCTAGACTTCCTAGGGTTCCGTATGATGCCCCTCCTACTTATCTCTCTTCTCAGTCAATTAATATCTTCTTTTGTGCACTGTCACCTCCTTCGTGGAGTCCTGTTGCTTTCCTTCTCTGTCTTGGATTGGCCAAATACATGTGGTCAAGATGACTATTCTTCCCAAACTTTTATATTATTTTTAGATCTTACCGATTCCTTTTTCCTATGTCTTCTTCAAAACAGGATCCTCTCCTTAATTTGGTCCTACCTATTCCCCAGAGTGACACGCTTGGTCCTATATGCCCACAGGCTGAGGGGTGGTCTGGGGGTTTAAAACAACTCTAAATGTTATTTGGCAGCACAAATCTCCCAGCTCACCATGCTCCATGCTTTTGTCAGATGTCCCCCTCTGGGTATTGTTAGAGATCCCCAACTGTGCACCTTCAGCCCTCCTGTGGCTTCCAGCCAATTTGAACCCCCAGTCTCTGAGCCCCTAATGTTCCATAGCTTATGCCTTTGGGACGCTATCCAATATCACCATTCCTACCACTGCTCCCTCTGCTTTATAACCCTCTGTTCCCCCCAGGATTAGAACAACCCCAAGCCTTCTCGTTGTGGCCCACACATGAGTTTACCCAAGTCCACATGTACCTGTTTATTGTTGCCAAGTGGGCTTTAGCCAGAGCTTGGAAAAAACTCTCAGTCCAGTTCGCAGAAGTGAAGAGCATTTTGACAACTCTGATGGTCCATGAAAAAATGGCTAGCATTCTCAACGATACCCATTCTAAATTCCTAAAAGTCTGGGGTCCCTGGTTGTCATATGCCCTTCCAACCCTGTCCCTGACTAGCATGTGTGCCTCTAGTTCCTCTGCTGCTTGCTAACATGCAGGCTTCGCTTGCTCTCTCTTTCTTCTTTCCTGGCTCTTAGCCGTTTCCCTCTTCTACCCTGCTTTCCTCTTCTCCCAGGGCTTTCCCTACCTTTCCCCTTTACCTTTTACCTTCCCCCTCCCTCCTTCAATATTTACCACTCCCCTGAGCTTTGGTCTGGACCTTTTAGGTACTCCATTTAGGCCTAGCCCGGCCTAGTTGGTTTGGACTGGCCAGTTTGTCACATTATATGTTAAAAATATACATTTTACTATTGCAGTTGTATTTGCACATCTCCCCTGCATGGCAATTAATTCTTTGTGCTTCTTTGCTCTGCTGATTGATTTCAATAAAAAGTATTGTACCAGAAGAAGGGGAGAATCAGGGAAGACAGGATCAAACAGCCTTTTTACACAATATGGAGAATTAACCCCTTAAAGCATGCTTTACTGCATATACAGACTGATTTTTTCTGTTGTGGGTTTAGTAACACTTTAAGACCTCCTATATATAACCACTGCTGTATACTGCCGACAGTGTAGTTATGTGAATACAGACAAAGGAGTTAGCTTACTAAAAAGATTAGAAATCACAATATAGAGGTCCACCACCTTGGTACCACATCCACAATGATCAAGAATAAGGAAATGCTAAATACTAAAGATGAGATTTTAAAGGTATCATTTTAATTTGTCAGACATAGTTAAAAAAAGTAACATTTTATTAGGCATATTAAGAGACATTAAAAACCATGACAACACAACAATGGTCGTTGTTTTTCAATTGAATTCAGCCTCAGGTACATACTTCATGTAGTACTTTATCTTCTACCATTGTTGTGTTGTAATAGTTTTTAAGGTCTTTTAATGTGCCTAACAAAATGTTAAATGTTTTTAACTATTTCTAATAAATGAAATTGGTATTTTTATTATTAAAAGATTAGAGAATATTCACTTTCAAATTAAATTTTCACTTTTTAAAGTGAATTTTCACTTATCTTAGTGAATGATGTGAAACAAAAGCAAATCACTTTTCATAGAATACCCTATCGTGTAAGGAAAATTAAAGTGGAATTTCAGTCAAATTTTAACTAAGCCTAAATCTACTCTCATCTCCATTTTAAAACTATTTGATCTACCTCATAAAGAAAAGATGTCTAGAGTTATCCATTCTGAAGTCACTCTGGTCTGGTCAGATAATCAGGTCCCAGTGCTGGCTTCAGTGTAGAGGAGGGCCAGCTGACAATGGATGCCTCTTAGTAAGCCTATTGGTGACGTCATCGCCCAAGCTCTTGCAGCCGTTGTTGCTGCCTCTCCTCTACACTGAACCTGGTATTGGGGCCTGATCATGTGACTGAAACAGAATGGCTTCAGAATAGGTAAGTAGACACCTTTCCTTTTACAACTTGGACAGGCGTAGAATAGGGATGGGAGTAGATTTGGGCTTGGTCAGAATTTGACTGGAATTACACTTTGATAAAAAAAAAAAAAATAATCCTTACTTGAACATTACCTTATTCACTAAACTAACTAAAATAATTATGCAAAGGGAATATTCAATTAGCTTAGTGAACAAGGTGAAATAGTGTTGTTAGTCATCCAATCAATTGCAAGCAAGACTCATTTTTTTAATTGTTCTTCGTGATTGGGTATTCTTTGCAAAGTAACTTTTAACTATGTTTTACTAAATTTACCAAGACACCAAAA